ATGCGTTCTGTGGCAGCCGTCCTTTACTCATCTTACATCTTATTTACCGAGTTCTCGTTTTTCACGGGCATCCATGGTTGTGGTCACAGACTCAGCAGACAACGGCAAGAGCTTTGTGACGACGAGAGTTCCTGGGAAAGGCCTCATCATGATGGTGTGAGGGCCCAGAAAAGGTGCACTAGGCCCGGTCCCAAGTCCGGGAGTGTCAGTTGTGCTATGCGAGTTCCTTTTGTTAGTAAAATTCTTTTTCTGATTTCAGCCTTTGACACATTAGCTACTGGCACTGGCGTGAGGGTTGCTCGTGGTACCACGGCGCGAGCGGAAGGTGGGCTTCAGTCTGCCGAAGTGTGTCGATCCACTGAAGTGCGTGGAGAACAGGTATTACCACAGGCACGGCTACAACCACAGTCATTCAGTCGGGCAAGAAAACGATCATTCAAACGTGCATGTCGCAGGGCATGGGTATCGGAAGAGCGAGGCACCAATTATCGAGGTAGATGGCACACTCACCAGCAGCTACTACATTCGTACAGACCCGGCATCACCATCAGGTCAACCACAGTCTGCAGACCAAGGGCGAGACAGCCTAGGAGTCGACGCCTCAAGATTTTCACATGGAATGTTGGGGGCATGGCAGAGAAGTGGGATGCTCTGATGCACTTTGCGGACTCCTCTGACTTTGATGTTCTCATGATCAGTGAAAGTCGCTGGAAGTTCACTTCAGAGTGGACTTCACCGAGATGGTGGATGCTGCACAATGGCTGCGAAGACGAGGAGCATCAACAAGGGGGCATTCTCTTTTTAGTTTCTAAGCGGTTATGCGGCTGCCAGGAAGTGCAGGTTCGACACATACTTCCAGGACGCCTAAGTCACCTGAGAATACAGCGGTCTAACGACTCCATCGACTTGTTAGGACTCTACCAGAAGGCGTGGAACTGCAAAGATCCCAAGACAAGACCTCAACGCAGGATTGTGTGGAATGCGCTACGAGACTGCTTAAGAGCGATTCCATGGCGAAATAAGGTCGTTCTGATGGGAGATTTCAATACATCGTGCGGGCCTCGAGGATCATGCTTTGGACCTTTTGCAGTGAAACCAACATCTGGGCAAGCTGATGATCATGAGCGCTTTGTTGACATTGCTTCAGAGGCGGACCTGATTGCACTAAACACATGGACCAAACAAAGAGACAACTGTACCTTCGTCTTCGGTGATCGAATTCGCACGCAAATCGATTACATACTGGTCAGGAGCAAACAAGCAGATCACACAGCTCGGGAAGCCTCGGTGATGTATGATTTTCCACTAGCTGAGTGCTCTCAAGGGGCCCGTCATTATCCGATTGTGGCATCTATTCCGATTGCTTGGTATCCACCTACTTCGCATTGCAACAAACAGATTGAGAATGGCTTCGACAGGGAGGCATTGATTGCAGATCTAAGAAATGAGGAAAAACAGGAGCCCAGACTCATACAGCTTCAAAGCCGAGTGGCACAGGAAATACAGAAGTGCCCAGATCTTGAATCTGTCCATGAAGCTTTGATTCGTATTGGTGCTCAGGTTTACCCCAAAACCAATCAAGTCAAGCTCCGAACATGGCAACAACCAGAGTCAAAATTCAAGATCCAGAACATGTGGAATGCTTTTCGGGAGATGCGCAAGCGCAGGGGCGGGGGTATGCAGGAGGTTATCCGTGCTTGGAGAGAATGGAGTCATTTTCAAAAGATGTACAAAGCCTACCAAGAGCATACGAAGCAGTTGCGTAGGCAACGGGTACACGACATCATGGAAAGGGCTCAGATCTCAGCGCAAAAACATGATCAAAGAGGACTCTATCAGGCGGTCTATGAGCTCGCTCCAAAGAAAGCGGCGAAGCAGCGTAAGAAAATCAGGGACAAGAACGGCGGTATTCTCAGCGCATCCGCTATGGCACAAGAATTGGTGAAGCATTTTCGCGAACGCTTTCAATCTCGTGATGCTCGTGAGCTCGAACTTCATGCGTCAACGCGACGACTACAACATGCGGTTCCATTGGGGAGAGATGCATTGCAAGATGAATTTGGAAAGATACCATTTCGAAAAGCTGTGCCCAAACATCTAGCTCCAGGAGTCTTATGGCGGGCATGCAGGCACTCCTTGAGCCACAAAATTGACTCTCTCATCGCCTCCATGTGGGTACCAGGTCCAGCTCGGATCCCTAGGTTGTGGACGGATGCTTGGTTATTCTTTTTACAAAAGCCGGCTAAGTCGGGGGAAGCAGCGAAACATTACAGGCCCATCGGCCTCCAATGCCCGGCTGGAAAAGTTGCAATATCCATCATCGCGAAGCGCCTCAAACCTCGAATTCTTGATTGGTTAAGACCCAAACCGCAATTCGGATATTTTCCCGGTCGAGACACATATGGGGCTTTACGAAGGGTGTTTAAGCATTGTTGTGGAGTGCGAGAGTTGTGCCAGAGCTACGCTCACTCCATCCATGATCTGAAAGCAGGCAAGGCTAGACCTTCGTGCGTTGGAGGATTACAGATCCTGCTAGACTTGGAGCAGGCATTTGACCGACTACCACGTACGAGAATTCTACAGGCCTTAGAAAGAGCGGGTGCGGCATCGGATGAAGCTGAACTCCTACTGCAGTGGCATCTCAGTGCCCAGTATCATGTACCAGAGGCAACCTCGAATGATCACTTTCGTGCGACTCGGGGAGTGAGGCAGGGGTGTAAAGCAGCGCCACTCATTTGGCTTTGCTTCAGTGGCTTAATCATGGAGGCTCTTGATTCCAGAAACGACGCAGGTTGGACGAGCTCCCACCTCACTGTTTTTGCAGATGATCATCATGCAGGGTTTATTTTCAGGAACGAAGACGAGCTACGGCAATGTCTCAAGCAGGTGGCCGTTTTGTTCGCAGTGTTGGAGGAGTATGGCATGTCCATAAGCACGGATAAGACAGTGGCGATTTTCACGTACAGAGGCACGAAGAGAGAGCAGATTCGCAAACAGTACACATACAAGACCAAAGACGGCAGGATGCTCAAGATATCGCATGCTTACAAAAATTATGCCATTCCCATTGTTTCCGAGCATGTCTACTTAGGTTGTGTTGTCACCTATGCTTCCTACGAGGCTGCCACACTACAGCATCGGCTTTCAGTGGGAAAGGAGAGATACCGCCAACTGCGCAAGGTCTTGAACTCGAGAAAGGTTCTGGGGCGCAGTCATCGCCTCAACATCTGGTTCACATGCATTTGGAGTTCCATGCAATACGGATTGATAGCCAGTGGGGTGCTCGCGACGGGGTTGAAGGAGCTGCAGACAGTGATGATGAAACATGTACGCGCTATTTCTGCAATGCCAGCGCACTTGACGCATGTATCTGACGGTGAGCTGTGTTCAAAGCTTGGCATCTCGCTCCCAGGTACCATGCTTTTAAGATCAGTTGAGACTACGCAAACAAGGCTTCGGCAGAATCTCATCAACATGTCGGCTCAGGAACGATCGCTCCATTGTGAGGGCTGGCTACAGACTGTTCGGGAGCTTATTGCAGCAAGCAAACATGGAATCCAGCAACTTGCTCCGGATGCTTCACTTGCGAGTGCTTTTTCCTGTGATACATGTGGACTTTCATTCCCCACGCAAAAAGCTTTGAGAGTTCATGAGTGGAAAGAGCATGGCCGTATCTTGCAAACCACGGCCAAATTCAGAAAAGATGTGCACGCTAAAGGGGACATGCCGATATGCTCAGGATGCAACAAAGTCTTTACAAGATGGGCGGGTCTGGAGAGACATATCAACAATAATCGATGCGAGCAACCAGTGCAGGAAGAGTTGGAAAATAAGCCGGACTCAGTGGGATCAGTTCAATTGCAGTTGGAGCAGCCCTTACACACACAAAGCTCGGCGATGCTTGGCAAGACGCCTGCTGATATGCTCAATGTGCCAGGATTGGCCAAGAGACTCACGCAGAATTGTGCATTCTGCAAGCAATGGGTTGCATCAGCATACATGGTTAAGAATCACTACCGCAATTCTCATGCCAAGTTGGTGGAGGAATTTCATGATAAAGCCGTGAGTCTCAGCAAACAACAGTGGGTTGGGGTACCGTGCCCGTTTTGTGAAAGCAAGACTAAAGCCAGGCACTCAGGAAGATGCACAGTGCTCTATCAATGGCACATGCTTCAGCTATACTGGCAAGGACTGAAGAATGAATCAGGCGGAGTTGGACGAAGTATTTGGACAGCTGGCGCCAGCAATGCCAACGCCAACAACCCAACCCGAAAACCCCCGCCCGACCAAGGCCATGCGACCTTATCACAAAGGCAAAGGACGCAATCCACACCTAGTATCACACGCCAGCGGACAAGATCAACTGATGGAGATAGTGGCGAAAATACTTCTACGGCACGAGGAGAGCATCAACGTGATCCGCCAGAACACCGGGTTCATGGTCTATTTCATGACCCCAAAAGATTCGCGTTCGATTCTACCTCTGTTGCTCAAGGCCTCAGTTGCTTGGAAACAGGCCCGAGACAACGGCACCGACTCCGCTCTAAACAGAACCCCGCTCAGGGTTGTGCTCATGCAATGCCTCGTGAAAGCTCTCCAAGATCAGCTAAGCAAAGAGGACCAGCTGAAGCATGCACAGGATCAAAATTGGATGACAGCCAACCGCGAGTGGACGTTTCAGATGTGGGATGGGAAGGCCAAAATGTTGAAGGTGGACAGCACACGTTCCCCCATCCCCCACAACGCGATGCTACAGAAGCTTCACACATTGATGCAAACCTTGGCGTCTCCGGAGGTAGTACACCGGTTCAGAAGTACCAGACCGCTTCGGGAGAACATGGAGGGAAACGTGCTGCCCTTTCTGTTGGACTTAGGCCTCACCTCGCCAACAGCTATGGAAGCTCAACAAACGCTGAGGGAACTCATAGACAGCTCAGTGTTTCAGGTGATCGGGGTGCAAATCCGAAAGCAAACTCTGCAGCGATCGCAGCTGGCAGCGATGCTACACCAGTACTTGCAAGGATACTGAGGCTGGAACTGGGGAACACATCGCAAACATGTTACGTCAATTCAGTGTTCTGGGCATACACATGGAATGCACTGCATATCAGAATTTCCCAAGAGGCGCGCTTTGGTCACGCTACTGAGGCTATAGCAAGAGTGCTTAAGCAACGACAGGCCAACTTGGTAAGGATGACCACATGGCGTGCAATTTTTGCAGGCTGGCCAAGCATTGGTGAACAACATGATGCGATTGAGTTCCTGGGACACTTTCTTCAATTTGCCAGGCCGATGTGCTGGGATGGGGAATGGCAGGCACGCACAGTGGACGACGACGGCATGCCACATGTGCAATATCGTGAATCTACTTTGCAGGCTATTTCATTAGTGCTTGCTGAGGGGTCAGGGCCTCATTCCCTACAGGAGTTGGTGAATGCTTGGCACGCTCAGGCCGACGTACATGCATTGTCGCAGGTGCCTCAAGGATTTTGTCTACAACTTCAGCGTTTCAGAGTCCGCGATGGACGGACCGTAAAGCAACAGGTAAGGGTTTCATGGGGTAACACGGTGCAGGTACCATGCTATGTTTCCGGGCGCACTTTGGAGATCCAGTGGCGATCTTATCGAGTGGGGACCTGTATACTCCACCATGGTGCTACGCCCACCTCGGGCCATTATACTTCACTCATGGCGCAGGCGGATGGATGGCTTCGCACAGATGATTATCAGGTTCCTCAACCTGTCAGCAGAATCACTGCAGCGCATGAGAGAGAGGTGTATGCGTTGCTGCTGAGGCTCGATGAGTGAATACGGGGAAGTTTTGATTGCGCTCACGGTTCCGATGGACGGAAGGTCAAAAAAGCTCAGGTCCTTTCTTTATTTCTTATTCGAGGCATGCAGGACGCAAGCTCCGCAGTATTCGATTTCATTGATGGGCGCCTATTTCTCATGCTTCAGGTTCGTGTATGCTTACATGCATCTTTCCTGTATGCATTGTCCATGACGCTCTCTTGCAAGTGGAGCTTGTTTCGACTGGAGCTCACGAGTACAGATGCTGGAAAGCCAAAACGCTCACATCATTTATTTGGGGCATGCTGGATACAGACTGGCGTGGACTCCTATTTGTTTGATATGAAACCGGTGGCTTCATGGGCATTTTCAGCTTACAAAGGACATGAGTGTAGTCAGACTTCCTTCACTCTTGACTCGAGGTCCGTGCAAACATGATGTGAGCTTCGATCTTTCCGTTTTTCTATTCCTCGGCATATGAGTTGAAGCTG